CACCACACAGAGGAGTATACAGTGGAGTTTCCCTTTTGCTATACTTCTAGGCTTTGGAGCCCATGAGCGTTAATGTGCTAACTAGGAACAGGAGTACATGAAAGAGCAAATTTCAGGATATCCCAGTCACCCTCATCCACCCTCGTTCAGGTTCCACGTTTACTACAAGGAAATCAAGACGTGGTTCTGCTCTTGTCTGTCTTATGCCGCAGCAACCCTGAGAGGTAAATTACAGTGAGACCGTAAGAAGGCTTTCCTCGGGATCGGCCCCGTTGAATAGTCCTACGTAGGATTCCGGGCAGTGTTCCCTCTAAGCTGAGTTAGTGTGAGCTAGCTCACCGCTTTTTAGCCTCCGGCTCACACATTTTTGTCTTTGCTCAGGAAGGAGGGTTCCAGAGCAAACCAGTTTATGCAGCAGCCAAATCACCTGCTCCCCCCTTTAGTGCCAGTCCCTCACAAAGGAAAATTTTTGCTTACGAGAAGACCCCCCAGTAGGGGTGTGCAAAAAAAAAAAAAATCAACCCGATTTGGATTCGGCAGAATTGGGCGGAATCAATTTCGGCCAGCATAAAGACCCCTGCATGTCAATTTCGGCAGTATGAGCAGATTCGGGAGTCTTTTGGCCAGCCAAATGTCAGTTTCAGCCCCATTATATCCTATGGGCCATTGAAGTCGATGGTAAAAACATAGGGTATATTCTGGGGGCTGGAGGGGAGGGGGTTTGAGGAAGAGGCACCAAACTTACAGGTTTTCTGCTGGAGCCGCTCCCCAAGATACCAACCAAGTTTCAAAAGCATTGGACCAGGGGGTCCAATTCTACGGGCCCTCAAACAGATTGCCCCTATCCCCTCCATTGTTCTCTATGGTGGGAACATACCTTACTTTTTAGGGGAAGGCCTCAGCCCTGTTGTTGGCCCTACCGAGGAACTGGTTGGCCACTTAGTGAGACAGGAGGCTGGACTAGATGGACCACAGGTCTGATCCAACAGGGCTCTTCTTATGTTCTTATCAAGGGAAGGCCTCAGCCTCTCTGCCCTGTTGTTGGCCCTCCAGAGGAACTGGGTGGCCACTGTGTGAGACAGGAGGCTGGACTAGATGGACCACAGGTCTGATCCAACAGGGCTCTTCTTATGTTCTTATCAAGGGAAGGCCTCAGCCTCTCTGCCCTGTTGTTGGCCCTCCAGAGGAACTGGGTGGCCACTGTGTGAGACAGGAGGCTGGACTAGATGGACCACAGGTCTGATCCAACAGGGCTCTTCTTATGTTCTTATCAAGGGAAGGCCTCAGCCTCTCTGCCCTGTTGTTGGCCCTCCAGAGGAACTGGGTGGCCACTGTGTGAGACAGGAGGCTGGACTAGATGGACCACAGGTCTGATCCAACAGGGCTCTTCTTATGTTCTTATCAAGGGAAGGCCTCAGCCTCTCTGCCCTGTTGTTGGCCCTCCAGAGGAACTGGGTGGCCACTGTGTGAGACAGGAGGCTGGACTAGATGGACCACTGCTCTGATTTAGCAGGGCTCTCATCAAGGGAAGGCCTCAGCCTCTCTGCCCTGTTGTTGGCCCTCTGGAGGAACTGGTTGGCCACTGTGTGAGACAGGAGGCTGGACTAGATGGACCAGAGATCTGATCCAGCAGGGGTCTTCTTACATTCTTATTAGGGGAAGGCCTCAGCCTCTCTGCCCTGTTGTTGGCCCTCTGGAGGAACTGGTTGGCCACTGTGTGAGACAGGAGGCTGGACTAGATGGACCACTGCTCTGATCCAGCAGGGCTCTTCTGATGTTCTTAAGAAACCCTCACTGTGAGGGGCAAAACACCTCTCTGTGAGATGTCCTCTCCTCCATCTTAGAGCAGTCCGAGTTCTACCCATTCACGTGTGAGGTGGTTGCTTGAGGTTATTAAAGTGGGGAGCACAGGCGAGGAACTTCCAAGGCAGTTCCTGGAGGGAGTATTGAGGGAGGGCGCAGCAATGCTTGGTGCCTCCTTCTCTAGAAGAAAGAATGGTCATAAGTGATGCATTTTCCTTTAGAGGTTGTGCATTTGACTGGTATGTACTCCACAGTGGAGGAAGGGTTCCTGGTTGCTTTTCAGAGTTGTCCGACTGCTTCCTGGGTTGAGTGCTGGGATACCAGGCCAAGCCTAGCAACCGGCAAAAGGGTTGGGTTTGTGGTAGGGCAGCACCATGGTGACCCCGAGAACGTCACTATCCAGGTAAAACTTGGAAGCAACGGCGGTAGCTCTAGGAATTGTCAGAAACTCTGTGGTTTGACATAGAGTTCCTGTTGATTCCTAGAGCTACCGCCGTTGCTTCCAGGTTTCCCCCAGAATGATGTCATCGTGCTTAGGGTGCTGGTGAGGTTTTTTAAAAAATTTCTGGCAGCTGTAATTGGGTAGCATGAAAATGTTCTGTCCTGTTGAAATCTTCAAAATGTTCAGGGATTCTTGGGCTTATTGTAGATTCCTTTGCCTCTAGGCCCTCTCTATGTACTGGTGGAATATGCCTCCAAGGGGAACCTACGGGAATACCTGAGAGTGCGTCGCCCCCCTGGTATGGACTACTCCTTTGATACCTGCAAGCTGCCCAAGGAGCAGTTAACGTTTAAAGACTTGGTCTCTTGCGCCTACCAGGTGGCCCGGGGGATGGAGTACCTGGCGTCGCAGAAAGTGAGTAGCAAGCAATGTTATCAGCAAGGAAAGTGCTTCCTGTGTGTTCATGCCCAAGGACACTTATCTTGTTCCGAAGCGAAATGGCCTGAGCACCTTAGAGATTCTGGTTTCCCCCGCAGTTTCCAAATGGATGCAGAATGAGAGCAGTCATATCTTTTGGGGAGGGGGGAAGGTATGGTTCGTTTCCATCGGTCTTCTGCTAGGATAAACTCACTCAGTTTCTTCCTGACATACATCCCTTTTAAAGGCACCCAATTTATCAATATAAACCAGTCTCCCACAGAAATGTACCCTGCTACAGGCAGGGCATCTTTCTTGTCAAGCGCAAATGGCCAAAGGTGGTTGCCTGAAATCAGGGGTCATTTCGTAGAAAAAGAGGTGCAGGAGCTCATTAGCATAACTTATTGGCATATGCCACACCCCTGACATCACCGGAAGTGTGTCAGAAGGCAACACCCACCGCTCAGGCTCCACTGGACTGTTCTGGATGGCTAGCTATGGGGGGGGGACGTGCAGATCTGTCCTCGCAGAGGAGGGAGAGCTTGTACCGGAATAAAACTTGGTCTTAAAGGTGCCACTGGACTGTTTTGGACCAGGGGGCCGGTGGGAGCTCTGCAACTTACCTGGCTGCTTCTTGCTCTGACTGAGGGCGGCTGGGAGCAGAAGGTGGAGCTTGTTGCATGTGCCTGCCCCCTGGGCTCTTTACTGCCAGAGCTCCGCTCCTATGCACTTTTGCAGGAAATGACCCCTGCCTGAAAGGGACTGAAGGGGAAAATCCCCTGGCTTCTACTGTAGCCGAGGGACCTTTCCTTTGTTCGGGGCCCACCAGCCCCTTTGTTGGCACCCACCGAGCGTCTTCAGGAAGTGGGCAGGTGGGGTTCTCGCACAGCAGAGCTTCTGATTTGCCGTTGGCGATCGGCTTGGTCGTGTAGATAAAAATGACACTGTTTTGGTGTTCGTTTTATTCTCTCAGCATTGGTTTTACTTCTCCTCGTTCCTCTTTCCGGGTTGTTTCCAGTCACCCCTCCTCTCCCGAGCTTCCCCTGTGTGTTTGCGTATCCCAAACCTCCTGTGGTAGCCTTTTTGTGATGGTGCCTCCCAGGCTGTGGGTCCTAATTCCAAAAGCACTCACAGGTAGGGGTCACTTCCTGCAGGAGCGCACAGGAGCGGAGCTCCAGCAGTAAAGAGCCCAGGGGGTGGCGATCAGCATTTCCCTGGGTGTGTAAAGGTAAAGGTAAAGGTTCCCTTGCTCGAAAACCAGTCGAATCCGACTCTAGAGTTGCCGTGCTCATCTCCGTTTCAAAGCCGAACAGCCAGCACTGTCCGAAGATGTTTCCGTGCCCCCTCTGCGAGGACAGATCTGCACGCCCCCCCCCCCAATAGCTAGCAATCCAGAACAGTCCAGTGGAGCCTGAGCGGTGGGTGTTGCCTTCTGACACACTTCCGGTGACGTCAGGGGATGTGTGGCATATGCAAATGAGCTATCCTAATGAGTTATGCTAATGAGCTCCTGCCCCTCTTTTTCTACGAAAGGACCCCTGCTCACAGGTTTAAAACAGTTGAGGACCCCAACTCTGGTGGGGCTCATTATTAGGAGACGGGTCCCCGATCTCACCAGATCCTTTGCAGGGTCAGCCCCGGTGAGCACTTGGATGGAAGACCACCGAGTCCAGAGTTGCTACGTAGGGGCAGGCAACTGCAAACCACCTCTTTTCATCTGCCCTGTCTTGGACAGCCTGGGCCAGCCTCATCGTGTCAGATCTCGGAAGCTAAGCAAGGTCGGTCCCGGTTAGGACTTGGATGGGGGACCACTAAAGAATTCCGCAGAGGCAGGCAAAGGCAAACCACCTCTGAACATCTCGCCTTGAAAACCTCATGGGGTCGCCATAAAGTCAGCTGAGACCTGATGGCGCTTTCAACCAGCGGCATCAAGGCAGAAAGCGATGATCCAGTAGCCTTTTTAGTACATATCTATGCGCAAGAGATGGAGCTGCGGTGGCTCAAGTGGTTAAGACGCTGAACTGCAGGCTGTGGAAGGTCGGTAGTTCAGCAGTTTGAGACCCGAGTGCCGCATGACGGAGTGAGCTCCCGTCTCTAGTTCCAACTCCTGCCAACCTAGCAGTTTGAAAGCAAGAAATTGCAAGTAGATAAATAGGGACCACTTCAGTGGGAAGGTAACAGCGCTCCGTGTGCCTTGGTGTTTAGTCATGCCGGCCACATGACCACGGAAACATCTTCGGACAGCGCTGGCTCTTTGGCTTTGAAACGGAGATGAGCACCGCAACCCTAGAGTCGGACTCAACTAGCTTTTGAGCAAGGGAACCTTTACCTTTACTATGCGCAAGAGAGTGATGACTCCGCTAATAGAATCGTAGAGTCAGAAAGTTGGTACCTCCAGGGTCATCTAGTCCA